AAGCTAAATAAGTAAGTTCGTTATAATTTTTACGTTTTCAAATCAAATGCTGTTACAAAGATTAAGTTGATTCAATCTTTTGCTGTTTCGTTTAACAAAATCATTTTATTCGCAATTATTTTGTGTAAAAAGTAAACAAAACCATGTGGCAGTCAATAAAAATATTGTTCAAATCAACTAAATTCATCGTATTTGTCCATACATAATTTGTCGTGATATAATTTGTTCTGGTATCTTTTGTCCTGAGATCATTTGTCCTGAGATCATTTGTCCTGAGATCATTTGTCCAGAGATCATTTGTCCTGAGATCATTTGTCCTGAGATCATTTGTCCTGAGATCATTTGTCCTGAGATCATTTGCCCTGAGATCATTTGTCCTGAGATCATAACCATATAAATATAAATATATATATATATATATATATATATATATATATATATATATATATATATATATATATATATATATATATATATATATATATAAAATATGTGAGTCCGAAAAAAATTGCAAGGGGGGGGGGGGGCGTTTTAATAAATTTCGCCTAGGGCGCTAAATAACCTGGCGCCGACACTGAGATCTAGAGTTAGTCCTAGGTCAGTATAAAGTGCAGATTTGGAAGAAGATACAGGACTCACGCGATTGGAATGGCGTGGTGAAGTAGTCCAAAACCCGTCATAGGTTGTAGAGCAACAGGTATGAATGGAATGATAATGTAAACAGCCGTGTCAGAGTTGCTAAAGAGGACTGGCAATACGGTATGAAAGAATGGCGACTCTTATTATTTCTAAAAAAGGCGAAGTAAAATGATGCATGACTATTGTTTCTTAACCCTTTTCCCGGCAACATATTTGGTACCCTGTCCCCGGCAACTGGAGGGATCATACCCGGACACTTTTTATAGTTGGAAATAGTATTTCTTCTGATTCCAGGCAACTGGGTGGATTACACCCAAAGACTTTCTTATAGTAAATTGTTTTTTTTTTGTTCATATATGGACATATATGGAGGACATATACGGTGATTTGTACTCTTTTCGGGAGCTCTGGAATGTAGATAGAGATAGTCCAGCATTTTAGAGTAACTTGACATTAACCTCATTAGGAGTAAGAATGAGGACAAAATACATGAATACGAAAAATAATACAACCAATATTTGACTGCATTAACAGGGATGGAGAGAAAGCAAGAGGAGACACTGGCACTCTGCAGAATAACAATTTAGTTGTATGCCAATTCAGTTCTTCTTTGGAAGTTTTTTGAAGGCAGAATTTTCTATGAAGAGATTCAGCAACCTTCTGGGTCATATTCACTTTAACAACAATAACACTAACAGTCCATAAGGCTCATGGTATTCTTACTCACGTTATGGTAGATATTCCATACAGATTTAACAGGGTGTTGTGTTTCTGGAGAGATCATAACTAATTGGGCAACTGGTTGATTTTAGAGGTGGGAGTAGATTTCTCCAATACATACCAAGCACCTCTGATCAGAATGGTATTAACATATTTTGGGCATATGACTCATGTAACACCACTAAAAGATGCCCTTATTATGTCAAAGAAAGCTAAAGTTCCCTGCCAGCAAAAGGAAATGTCCAGTTATTTTAATTTTATCTAACAACTGTGCTCTCCGTGGTGCAAATTATTAAAACGTGTTAATGTTTAATTTTTTAATTACTAAAGTTGTTTACTTCAATTCTGATTGATACTTTTGTTACTCAAAAACCTTCAGATAGTTAATTTATAGTTAAACTTTGAAAATGCATCACAATGACTTAACCCACAATGAGCAATAACACATATTTAGAAGCCAGTTTATAAAACAATTTTAAACCCTTATTAAAAAGATTTTTACGCATCTTTTTAACATTTACAACATTTAATGTGTTCACCCCAACCACCTTATAGATGGGAATGAGACCCAGAAAACAATATTATAAAATGAAACTCGAGATAGAGCAAAAATATAGCGACTTTGGGTGGATTACACTGGGAAGGGTTAAAATGTAGGTATTAACATAATTTTAAAATGTCAATGTTTATGGACATTGTTGTGAACTCTTTTAAATGTTTTTTAAATGTTTTAGCGCTTTGATTGAAATGGTGCTGCGGGAGCGGTTACTGCTCCCTATTTGCTCTTATGCCATTATGATAAATAAGGAAGGCAGGCAAGTAGTTCAGCATGCCCACAAGTAGCCAGGTTGCAAAAAAAAACGTCAACCATGAAAAATATTTTTCAAAAACTGATACCATATGTGTGTAACATTAACTGCTAAACATAAATGTTGCAATCATAACCCGAAAGGAAAGATTAGACGCGGTAAAAAAAAATTAGATTTTAGTTTTCTGAGATAAAGTGATTTATATGTTGCACGTAGTGTCAAGTTGACACAGGTTTATCTCAAATACAGTAAATTAATGTAGCTTTAACCCTTTATTTACTGAACTAGTTCTAATGGAAACTTTACCTTAAAAATGTGTAATTAAATTGCTCTTGGAACATTTAAAACTTAGGTCGAAGGTAATTTATTTTGGGAAAAGTTTTAATGAGCCAAATATATATTGGTACTTATATGTATTGTCAGGAATGTAGTAATTTTTTTTCCAAAAAAATAATTTAAAAATTGGTACAAACTGTACAATTTATTACCTAATAACATGGCAAATATTACAACAATCACTTTTGTAATTTTCACACATAAAAACAGCACGAAGTTATATTTTAGTACTATTTTGTTATATTAAATTTTCTATAGAAATACATCTTAGACCTTCTTCTGACAGTGCTTAACACAGCAAAAGGTGTCAGCATATCCTACTGCCTTATTCCTTAATGACACATTCTTGTCTGTGGTCTTTCTGATGTGGCAACTGTTGCTGGACTGAACCTACTTAGCTGGACGCTTCCAATAGAAATTATAATGAACTGCAGCAACAAAATATTTTGAAAAAGAAAGCCTAGCCATTCAGTATACTACTACTAGTAATACTAGTATGATTGTAGCCTACTAGAATGTTATGGCAGGCCGATTGAAAGGCTGATTAAAATTTACCTTAAAGATCTTTATTAAAAGCAAAAGTATGGACTAGTCTATTGGTATACATTATGTATTTGTAGTTATTGCAGGCAAGACATTTTTCTGTAATACATAATTATAACTGACATATCTTATTACTGGTACTAGACTTTGTCATACAAATAAACTTTACTAAACTTGGTAAAGTAGCCTGCAACTGCTATTTTCGTTTTTGTTATTCTTTTACTATTAGAAATCTAAATTTAAATGCATAATATTTTAGATAAACAATATGCGAACCTTCTTCTAAATGTATAAATATCAATTTATTTAACACATTTCAATAATTTATTATCAAAACAAAATATTTTTGTCAATCCACATAGAAAACTGTCATTTCCAAGAAATCCTAAAATTATGATCGTGTGTCTAAAATGATCAATACATTTTTTCCATGGATCAATTTAGTAATAATAATACTTGAATATTGTATTGTCATCGGAAACAAAGCTTCCCTGAAAATTTCAGCGCGCTAGCTAACTGGGAAGTGCCCAAAATTTCGATTGCAAGATTTGATGGAAAGACAAACAAACAGACGCGAAAGCAAGTTAAAGAAAACGTACTTGTACTTACAAGTATTCGTTTAAACATTGATCTAATACAAAGATATTTGTATCTTTTACAAATCTTGTACAAATATAAATTAAACACACATACCTGACTATTGAAGATGCCAATAAAATATATTTGGCGTTTAAAACTTAAAGAATACGTTAAAACGAAGGGAAATTAAGAACACGTGTGAGATCTGAACAGAACGATTGCGAACGACCGATACAGGAAGAGATTGAAAACAGATACTTTAAAGAAAACAAAAAACAACAACTGGCGACTCAGGGGAGATAATACTATTAATTTTATCAATAACTTTTAAAATGAAAAATAATCGAGGCACTGAATTAAAGTGGTACTTATAAGTACTGTCAGTAGATAAAGGGTTAAATAACTAACTTCCTGGTCTAGCGTTGCTTGTGTTATCGGGAATACAAAGTTTTAAGACACGATGTAAATCTGCGGGAGTGGTCCGCGCGCAGTTCAAATAAACACCTTTTATCATAGGCGTGCCTAGTCCTTTAGTTAGTTGTTTTGGAGAGGGATGGATAAATGTATTAGAGCCGCTCTCTCTCTTTCTCTCTCTCATTCTCTCTCACTCTCTCTTATTCTTTCTCTCTCCTAAATGCGCACTTTAAGCTTTTAGAAATTTTCATAATGTGTGTTTTCATCTATCCATCTATTCATCTCCGTGACTTTACAGCCCATGGAGGCTTTAGCCTGCTTCGTCAACTTTTTCACTCAGACTTGTCCGATATCTTCATTTGGTAATTTTGGTGTTAAAACTTCTTTATCATTGATGATCTAACCAACACAATCTTCGATGTTAAAAATTATAACTACAGGGTATTTTAAATGTCACATATATCTGTACTGGCTCGATTTCCCAATTAATTCTTTTATAAGTCGGTCCATAAGTTTGGGCACTTACAAAAACAACAAATAAGATATTGCTTAGGAAAATGTATCACTCATCTTCATGAACTAGTACAATTCTATAAAATAGATCAATCATTTCTTAACCACTATCGGTTATGACAAGAAAGAATCTCGACAAACAGCTTTTAATACGTTAAAATCATGCATATTTCCATTATAATTTCCATCAAGATATTTATTTAAATATTTTTAGCCCTATGCTTTTGTTTGGTGTTAATTTGCCACAAGAAAGCAGGATTAGCGACCCTGGATTTACATTTATTTAACGTTTATTTATCTTTTTAACAATTTAACATTTATTTAACGAAAATGAATTCAGTTTGCCTAGGTTTAATTACTACCGAGGAGCGCCTATGCATACACGAATTGATATTCCACACTTCTCCACTCTAAATATCAATAAAAGATAACGAACAAAACGTACACTTCCTCTTTCAAAACTGAAAGCTACAGGTAAGTAGTGTGCATGTAATAGAGCTTTGAATAATTTTATACTAATTTTGTTTTAGTTCAAGGCCTACTGAATATTTACTATAATCTTAGTATATAAACGTAAAACGGTTTAAGAACTGACCAACACCTATTTTTCTGTATAAATAGAGAATTTTCTTTAAAAAAATGTTAATGCGAATATTGAGGTAACTTCAAACTGAAACAAAGTATTATATTTTAGCATCATCATATATCATTAACTTAACCGACTAGAAAAAATAAGGTTCGGCATCCAAAACTTACTCCGATCTGGAAACTGACCTATAATTACAATTTTCTTACACTGGATGGATGACATCAAGGATTTGACGGGGGTGCCCCAGTAGCGGATTAAGGGGGGGGGGGGGGGGCTGTGAGGACTGCAGTCATGGCCCTTTTAAATTTGGGAGTCCCCAATTTACTGCTTAATTGTTGATTTTCACTATAAATCTAAAGTTTTAATATTTGCATCACAAGCTTCAGTTTTTGTACAAAATATCAAATTCGTGCCCACCTGTCATTACCTCTGACCTAGGCATTGTTTATATAAAGCTGACGCTCCCTAAATAACACAGTCCGCAACTGCGATCGCTTACGATAATAAAAGGAGTTGTTTTTAGCGTTAAAAACACAAATAGCAGCCGAATTGTGATAAATGATTACCTATCATTGGAATCGGGCTACACAAAATTAATATAGAAGCTATAAAATTGCTCGTTCATCGAGGAAACATATATAGATAAGTTCGTAAAATATGCTTTATGAGAATATGATGAAGTAAAATTATCAAACTCAGAAGACTTTTGAGAAATCGTATATTAAATAATGTAATTCTTCCGGTAGCCGGAAATTGCCCGAAAGTTGAAAGAAATTTTTTTTATAAATATATATGAAATCTCATCCAACTGACTTAACGGTACTCAAGTTCTCGTGTTCATAAAAAGGTAGGATAAACTACCACTTCCATTACCCGAAAATCGCTCAAAAGCTTAAAAAAACCATCAGATGAGATCTTATACATATACATTGAAATTCGTCAATTTAATTGAAACATTACCAAAGTTATTTAACTTAATTTGGAAACTGGAAATAGAGTAAAGTGCCACTTCCGAATATCGGAGATCACTCAAAAATTAAAAGAAATCTGAATAATCAAAATAAATAAAACTTCGTCTACCTAACTAAAAGGATATTAGAGTTACTTTGGGAAGGGGGAGCTCTAGAAAAAAGCATGGCAAAAGACAATAACTTACATTGTTTGCAGATTTGATCATGTCAAAGCTGACCGTAACGCTTACTGTGATGTCCATACTTCATTGTGTGGCCTTCTCATATGGGGCCGTACATGTTGCTAGAGACATGTTCAAGGCCGCTGTGTACGGACATGCAGTGATTTTACCCGCTGACCCCATGACCAACGTATCACGTGACCAAGCGGTAACTAACATGCAGAAAAACGTCGAGGTGTACAGAGCTCAGGCACAGAGAGCAGCATCACAGGTAGGAACCTGATAACACCAAGCTTACCTGAAGTAAAAATAGATATACATGTCTCAGACAAGAAGCTGCATTCATTCTAGGTTCATTGTTTGTTGACCATAACTTGTTTTTATTAAAGGCTTTTATTACGTTCAATAATTATGAATGAAAGAGAGTGAAGTTTTGCCATAGGAACGGGTTGTTATGGTATGCAAGTTAGGTAGTTCGGACTAGGGAGAATGTGAGAGATACTTCGTGTAATGTCGATAGTTTTATGTTTATTTATACGAGAATAGTAGTTGAATAATTATTGACCAAGAAAATAATAAGCATTGTGTAAAGCGATTATCGCCTGTATCGTGGTGATGGAAATGCACATGGTAGTGGTACGCTTTAAATGGTAGTAGATCACGTGATCAAACACGACACTCTCACAGCAGCCCTAACAGTCATGTATAAATGTGTCATCTATTCGATATAGGTCTTTGTGCTAAATTTCTCTTTTGCACATTTTTCGTTCTTTTTTTTCTGGTTGCGCATTTTTCTGCTTGCGCTTTTTTCTGTTTGCGCTTTTTTCCGTTTGCGCTTTTTTCCGTGTGCGCTTTTTTCTGTTTGCGCTTTTTTCCGTTTGCGCTTTTTTCTATTTGCGCTTTTTTCTGTGTGCGCTTTTTTCTGTTTGCGCTTTTTTCTGTTTGCGCTTTTTTCTCCTTGCGCTTTTTTTTCCGTTGCGCTTCTTTCCGGTCACCGTATATATATATATATATATATATATATATATATATATATATATATATATATATATATATATATATATATATATATATATAAAGCAAATGTATGTGTGTGTGTGTCTGTGTGTGTGTGTCTGTGTGTGTGTCTTTTATGCATTACCACACCTCTTATCACATCGCCGTGAAGCTTTGGGAAGTTGTTGAGAATATTCCTGGGGAGGTTTCTGCGGAAAAAAAAAATTTCAAATTCGCAGGGGTGGCGCCCCGGCAGGGCGCGATTTGTTTTTCTCTATATCCGGTATATAAAAATAAAAGTCTATTTTGATTTCACACTGTTCATACGATAGGCATGAAACTTTGGGGAGTTAATAAGAATACTCTTTGGAACGGTTCTGTACAAAAATCATTTTTATTATCGCAAGGGCGGCGCCACGGGAGGGTGCTATTTTTCTCTATATACGGTATATAAAAAAAATAAAAGTGAATTACAATGACACCGTTCATCCGATAGACATGACACTTTGGGGAGTTCATTATAAATCTCTAGGAAAGGGTTCTGTAAAAAATCATCTTTAATTTCGCAAGGGCGGCGCCACGGGAGGGTGCGATTTTTCTCTATATACGGTATATAAAAGTAAAAGTCGATTTTAGTCTGACACCGTTATCCGATAGCCATGAGACTTTGGGGGAGTTGATTAGAACAATTCAAAGAAAGGTTCGGTAAAAAAAAAATCCTTTTTAAATTTCGCAAGGGCTTATATTATAAAAATATAAGTCTATTTCGGTTTTACACCGTTCATCTGTGTACCATGAAACTCTGGGGAGATGATTAGATCACTCAATGGTAGGGTTCTGCAAAAAAAAAAAAAAATTTTAATATTGAAAGGGCGGCGCCCCAGGGGAGAGCGATTTTTTTTCTCTATACACTGTATATAAAAAATAAAACTCGGATGCGGTTCATCCGAGTGCCATGAAACTTTAAGGAGTAGATGATAATACTCCCGAGAATATTTCTGCGAAAAAGAAAACTAAAGTTTCTTATTGGCGGCGCCATGTTGGGTACAATTTTAGTCAATACACGATTTAGCGCCCAAAGTTTTAGAGCGACTATGTTGGCACTTGGCATCCGTTGATCGAGCGTCCTGCATAGCGAGTAAGGGGTACTACTATATTCAGCGGTAAAACTACAACAGGCTTCTAAAAATAAATTTGTAACGCGAGGAAATCCTGCTGTACAGTTTCGTCACCTTGCGAAAGATGAAAAAATAGCTGTTTGAATATGAGGAGCCTACTGTAGAGTTTCGTCACTTTGCGAATGATGCAATAGGCATCATTTATTAGACGATCCAGTCAGAAATTGAGATCGAGCATCTAATAATAGACCATTAGTAACGCTACCATATTGCATCAGTCACACAGATGTTTAAAACACGTCAAATAATTTTTATGTGTTAAAGAAAAAAAAATCCTGTTCATGTGTGTCACTTCAGCGAATGACGAAATGTGCATCATTGTTTACAGGATAATATTTGGTACTCTGGGTTATCCACGATGGCGCCTGTTAGTTTTAAGGAGCCAGGGGCCGTACGCTGCGCCTATGCGATAGTATAATCGGGGGGGGGGGGCTCCTGAGAGCGCCCTTCTACGTCCCTGACACATGAGTAGTCACCGAAGTGAGTTCTACCTCATTATTTTGGTGAGTGATTAATGTACACATAAGGTTTTCACGCGGTAGTGTAGGTAAACCCGTGTCCCGATATTTATGATCCAAGAGCAGGCATTGTTTACATTTAAATAACAAACTTTTATAAAAATAAGGTCACGAGTCTAAGAATATAGGATTGGTAACGTATGGATGAATCCCTTCTTATATATTTCGTCGGACTATCTTCTATTTGCGCGGCAACGCGCGGGGACGGGTACGCTATTATATATATATATATATATATATATATATATATATATATATATATATATATATATATATATATATATATATATATATAACAATGTATGTGTGTCTGTGTGTCTTTTATGCATTACCACACCTCTTATCACATCGCCGTGAAACTTTGGGAAGTTGTTGAGAATATTCCTGGGGAGGTTTCTACGAAAATAAATATGTTAAATTCGCAGGGGTGGCGCCCCGGCAGGGCGCGGTTTGTTTTTTCTCTATATACGGCATATAAAAATAAAAGTCGTTTTTTGTTTGACACCATTCATCAGATCGCCATCAAACTTTGGTGAGTTCATTAAAACACTTTGGGGAAGGGTTCTGTAAAAAAAAACATTTTTAATTTTACAAGGGAGGGTGCGATTTTTCTCTATATAACATATATAAAAATAATAAAAGTGACTTGCCGTGACACCGTTCACACGATCGCCATGAAACTTTGGGAAGATGTTAAGAATATTCATGGGGAGGTTTCGGCGCTAAAACATTTTCAAATTCGCAGGGGTAGCGCCCCTTCAGGGCTCGATTTGTTCAATGCTAAGTCTTAAGTGTAGCTCAAATCTCACACAATTTTGTCTTTACAGAGCGCTGATATCATCGTCTTCCCAGAGGATGGTCTGTACGGCTTTACTTTCACCCGCGAGTCCATTTACCCGTACCTGGAGCAAATCCCCGACCCTAGGGCCGAGTCCTGGTCACCCTGCCACGCCCCTGACCGCCACCCCAACACAGACATCCTGAGGGCGCTCAGCTGCGTCGCCATGGAAACCAAGCTGTACCTCGTGGCCAACATGGGCGACAAGCAGCCTTGTGACGTCACAACAGACCCCAGCTGTCCACCAGACGGACGGTACCAGTACAACACGGACGTCGCGTTCGGACCAGACGGCACGCTGTTGGCGCGATACCACAAGTTCCACCTGTTTTACGAGGCCCAGTTCAACACACCGGAAGCGGAAATCATTTATTTCGACACGCCTTTCGGCCGGTTCGGGCTGATGGTGTGCTTTGATGTGCTGTTTTCTGAGCCCGGGGTGACGATGGTGCTGAAGAACAACATCTCCAACATCGTCTTCCCCACCGCCTGGATGGACGCCCTGCCCCTGCTCTCTGCCATCGGGTTCCATTCCTCCTTTGCTCGCGGGCTAGGGGTGAATTTCCTCAGTGCCAACATTCATTTACCGGAAAAGAGATTCCACGGCAGCGGTGTGTACACGCCAGATGGGATGAAAGTTTCCTACTACGGGGCGACTAACACGACACAACCCAAGCTATTGCTGGCTGACGTTGATGTCTTGCAGATTCCCAAACACAATATATCGGCGTTTCTTGATGAACTGTCATATAAAGATGAACAAAATCGAGTAATTACAACCGGCACTCCCCAAGATGAGTTTAAATCTCTTTTATTTTTCGATGAATTTACATTCCGGTCTTTGGAAGAACCGTCAGGAGATCTTTCCGTTTGTCAAAACGAGATTTGCTGTCATCTTGATTTCGCCATGAATCAAAATGATTTCGGCCGAGAACTTTTCGCTTTTGGCGCTTTTGATGGTCTGCATACATACGAGGGCCAGTATTACTTCCAGATCTGCGCCCTGGTCAAGTGTGCTGACGTCAGCAACAAATCTTCCTGCGGGGCGGTAACTAGCACGACGTCCACCAGTTTTCTGGCCGTCCGCATGTCGGCAGACCTCCAGACGCCGTACGTCTACCCCCAGGTCGTCCTGTCGGACCCCCGGGGAGAGCTGCAGCTAGCGGAGGCTGCAAGCTGGAGCTTCAGCGGTCACTCCCTCCACACCGGCCCCTCCTTCAACCACACGCTTCTCTCGGCTGCTCTATTCGGGCGTGTCTACTCGCGTGATAACGACAGCAGAAGTGACATTGGCATAGATTTAATACTTACAGCTGGTCACATTGATAGAAACAACGGTGGTGTATCGCTGAGAGCTGAACCTTTCCACGGTTATTTCTTTTCATTTTTGTCTATCATAACACATGCAATTTTGCTTTTCTTTTGAAAACCTTTAGTTTAATTTTCTATATATTGTTTGTATAAGCAAACACAAATCCTTTTAACATGGTCATATGAGCTATAGCTTCTTCAACAACAACAAAAAATTACTATTAACCTTATATATAACCTCTGTACAATAAACAAAAATTAACCTATAGTGTATAATTGTAAATATTTTTGAAAACGATGAATGTAAGAACTCTTAAAGATGAATAACAATAGCTTTTTTTATTTTTAAAATAGATTAGACTAACCGTCATCCGTTGGATAACTGTGGGCTTCGGGGGTCATCCATCAAAAAGCAACACGTAGAGGCGTAGCGACCCTTCCCGGCGCCCGGGGACAAACTTTTCGATTTGCACCCTCCCCCCCTTAAACTTTTGATGTGCACCCCCCCCCCTCAAGATTTCGATTTGCAACCCCCCCCCCCCCCACTGAAACTATCGATTTGCACCCCCCTCAACCTTTCAATTTATTTTTCCAACCCGTTTTGGCGCCCCCTAAGGTTGGCGCCCGGGGAAATATGTTCCCCCCCCCCCTCACTACTGCTACTGCAGTGTCACTTATCGTCACAAAAAAACAGACCCCACATTCAAAAATATGTTTTTTATCTTTAAAAACACCGAAAACACCTATTTCGGACTATACTGACGTCACAGGTGACCTACTCAACTCTACTTCACCTGCCCAGTGTCCCGCCAAGTCTCAGACAACATGATTTTATCGTTTAAAAAACGATTCCAGCCGAGCATGTCTCTGACCTCACTATCCCTTCATATGCTTAGGACAAAGAAACAGATGAACTCTACTTCACCTGCCCTGTATTCCGCCAAGTTCAGATATGCAACTTTATCATTCACATCACAAAAAATAAAATAAAAATTGAAAAAAAAAATCATTGACGTATTGGTGTAGAACCTGTGCCACCCGCATGTGAGCCGATTCCACTAACAACTTAGCTATTTACTTGTGACGTCACAGATGAATTGTTATACTATACTTTAATACTTTGAGTCTCCTTATGCAACTTGATTTACGCGCATAGATCTAGATCTAAGTCTAGTAGTAGTAACTTTCAAATTAAATTTTATCTTAAATTAGCCAAACAAAGATTTATATAAAATAAAGAAGGTCTGAAATTATCTAGATCTAGATAGAATTATCTAGATCTAGATTCTACGACTCGTTTGCTTAAGTCTTAAGTTTTGTTTTTCTTGCTAGATCTAGAATCTAGATTTAATCATTAGCTACGCTAATAGGCCCTGGAGCGAGCATTTAAAATTACCATATTCCAAACAAAGATTTATATAAAATAATAAAGGTCTAAAATAGTTTAGTATATAGAAAATCATTATTATCTAAATCTAGATAGAATTATCTATATTTTAGATCTACGACTGAGCTATATTTAGAATTTACGTTTACAATTTAGCAAAATTAACGGTATCGAAGCCGCGTATGAATCTCAAGCTACGCAAATAGGCCTGGATCCAGCATTTCAAAATTAGCATAGTCAAAACAAAGATTTATACAAAATAATAAAGGTCTAAAATATTTTAGTATATAGAAACTCATTATTATCTAAATCTAGATAGAATTATCTATATTCTAGATCTACGACTGGTTTGCTTAAGTCTCGTTATTTTTTTTTTTGGATTGTATTTATAACTAATAAATCTTTGATTTGAACTAGATTCTAGATCTAGATCTATAATTATCTTTCTTGGACAGATTGTAGATTTAGAGAAATTTATCGTAAAACTAAATGAAAAAGACAGTTGAAAATTGATATGTGTTGGAACGTAATAAATACAGCAAACGGACGTATTGTTAAATTTAAAGCCGACAGAAAATTAGCTTTAGAACGCGTTACACATTGGAATGGGAACACAATCTTCTTCGATAGGCCGCCATTATTGATGTAAAAAATAAACACATCATGTGACGTCACTGTTTCGTCGAGTCTAGTGGTTTTTCTAATCATTTTTTAAAAATTTGGTTAATCTACCTATGAATAAATCAATAAATTAATTAACGTCTTTAAATAAATGCGTGATTAACAGTCTGTCTGCAATAAAATATTATTCTCTACCTATATATTATTTTACAGCTCTCTACGATGAGTTCAACTATTTGCAATAATCAATCAGACAAACAAACACAAAATAAATATTCAAATATGTAAACAAACTTGAGTTTTAGTAGTATACTAGAATACCCGTCATCCGTTGGATAACTGTGGGTTTCGGGGGTCATCCATCAAAAAACATCACGTCTGTCACTCAGAGGCAGAGCGACCCTTCCCGGCGCCCGGGGACAAAGTTTTCGATTTGAACCCCCCCCCCCCGCAAGATTTCGATTTGAAACCCCCCCTCAAAATTTTGATGTGCACCCCCCCCCCCCACTTAAACTTTCGATTTGAACCCCCCTCAACCTTTCAATTTATTTTTCCAAACCATTTTGGCGCCCCAACATATGTCCCCCCCCTGCCCCCCCCCTTCCCCCATCCGACTCCCCCGCCTCCCCTCCCCCCCCCCGCCTCCCCTCCCCCCCGCCTCCCCTCCCCTACCGTCCCCCCCCCCTCCTCGCTACGCTACTGCAGTGTCACTTATCGTCACAAAAAACAGACCCCACATTCAAAAATATGTTTTTTATCTTTTAAAAACACCGAAAACACCGATTTCGGACTATCCCTTCATATACTGACGTCACATGTGACCTACTCAACTCTACTTCACCTGCCCAGTGTCCCGCCAAGTCTCAGACAACATGTATTTATCGTTTAAAAAACTATTCCAGCCGAGCATGTCTCTGACCACACGATCCTTTCATATGCTTAGGACAAAGAAACAGATGAACTCTACTTCACCTGCCCTGTATCTTGCCAAGTTCAGATAGGCAACTTTATCATTCACATCTAAAAAAAAAATTGAAAAAAAAATTTCATCGACATATTGGTCTAGAACCTGTGCCACCCACATGAGAGCGGGCTACGCTACCAGCTTAGCTATTTACTCTTGACGTCACAAATGAATTTTTATACTATACTATGCGTCTCCTTATGCAACTTGATTTACGCGGATAGATTCTAGATCTAGATCTAAGTCTAGTAGTACTAACTTTCAAATTAAATTTTATCTTAAATTAGCCAAACAAAGATTTATATAAAATAATTAAGGCCTGAAATAGATTCTAGATGTAGAATTTACATTGAGTCTAGTGACCTACATCTAGGCTAGATCTAGATCTAGGCTAGATTCATAACTTTCCTTCGATAGCTGATCTTTAGATCTAGAGAAATTTATCGTAAAACTAAATGAAAAAGACAGTTGAAAATTGATATAAGTGTTAGAACGTAATAAATACAGCAAACGGACGTATTGTTTAAGTTATAGCTGGCAGAAAATTAGCTTTGTAACGCGTTAAACTTTTGAATGGGCCACAAAGTCTATGATGGGGTCCGCCATTTTTATTGAACCAAAAAGTAAACACATCAAGGGACGTCACTATCCCCACAAAGTTTATTCAAAGTATTAACATTTTTAAAAAAATACGGTTAATTTAACTATGAATAAATCAATAAATTAATTAACGTCTTTAAATAAATTTGTGATTAACAGTCTTTCTTAAAACAAAATTTTTTCTCTACCTTCATACTATTTTACAGCTTTCCACGATGAGTGCAACCATGCGAGATAGTCGATCAGGCAAACAAACAAACAAACAAACAAATAAATATTCAAACATGTAAACAAACTTGACTTTTAGTAGTATATAGATAGATAGATAGATAGATGACAATATGGAGAGAAATAACATATTCACAATCCATTGTGTCAAAAATAGCTCAATCGCACTATTGACCGTTGGTGTTACTTTTTTTACGAACAGGCTATGCCTTTCTTTTTTGTATAATAGCCAGATTTTTTTATACTTTTTATGCTTATGAGTACAGTGTTTTCTCGAGATTTTAATTGTATTTCTTCCATGATCTTATTCGTATTTAAAATAAAAAAAAAATTTCCCTCAATTTACAATAATTGAAATTACAATTAATCAGTTACAAGACACAAAATGTCCCCCCACACCCACCCAATAGCTTTTCTTGCGTATTTTTTAATATGAATATTATATTAATAAGTGACAATTATTAATGTAGAAAATCATTTTAAAAGCGAAATCAACTGCTTTTGTTACTTGTACGTGCTTTGGAAATCAGCCGACTTACGTAGGATGAGGGTGGAGGTATAGAGTAGAAAAGATTGGCAAACGAGCTTTATTCTCTTACTCGCTACACTTTTAATGCTATACTATCCATATATTTTATGAACTAAATGTACTGGAAATAATTAAACTTAATTGCTAATGTACAATTTTGTGTCGTTTTTGCCTTGCTTTCATTACGGCAATCATTTTGTTTTCTTTTTGTAATCAGTGTTCACTCTAAGCTGCGCGGCTGCGCGGCCGCCCAGCACTTACAAATATGCCGCGCAGACAAATCCTGATCCCGCGCACAGACTATCAGAACCACGGGCTAGCCTGATTCACAAGAAAAATTGTGGCCAGTGGCTTGAATTAAGCGACATTTTTAGTGCCTGTTTTGTTAAATATAATTGACTGGCCTCGACCAAGCTGATACTTAAAGTTTGTGACCTCGGTTGTCATAGCACAGGTCTAGTTTATGACTTGCCTCTCACCTGAGCGGGGTACCGATCTAATGTCTGGGTAACACTCCCTCTTCTTGATTTAATGGTTTATCCCAAAACTGATCGTAGCTGACATTTAATACCATGGCTGACCATGCAAGGTTGGTTTTTTTTATTGCCACTGCCCTCCCCCATCTCCCAACTCCCAACCCCACCCATTTCCTTGATACTTTGACGATTTACCCAAGTCAGATGCAAAGTCTACGTTACTAAAGGTGGATGTTTTTTTGCTGTTTGGTTTAAGGATTTATAAACTATATATCCAATTCTTGGGATCATTACGTGCACCTGGATCGAACTGTTTCAGTGTTCACAAACTGGTTTGGTAAATAAGGAATAAAAGTTTACTACTCTGTGCTATTTGAAAATGTTGAAAAGAAAAATGTGAGTAACAAGCGGTAAAACAATGCAGCAAAAAAAAGCGAGAGATTCGTTTAAACTGAAAGT